AGTTAATTTAGTATAGCTCACGGCAGTTATTATAAAAACATAATATAACTTAAGTAAATAATAAAAAAAGAACACTTTTTTTAAATCTTCTTCATAATATCAACACACACGTCCTATTTCCATTAACCTATGGAGTTCCTTGCTCGTTCTTCTCCACAGGAATCTACACCTTAAAATGAGCAAATAGTTTCAGCTTTGTTAACGTTAATTTAATTGAAATAAATGACTTTGACTTTGACATTACAAATAGAAAAGTCCCAACTACCAAGTCTATTAATAAGATCTGATTTCAAGATCAAGCAATTGAATCTAATTACTGCCACAGCGCGGGGTCAATGTCCGGCTGAGTCAGAGACTAGATCTCACACAATTAGCGAATGTTATTACAGTTCAGTACAAAGTGTGAAATGCGTTAGTTATTTTATTTATCTTCCACTAGTGCAAGTAATGATAATAGCGAAGTTTTAATGTTCTTGTTAATTTTATAGTCTGGACTTTGTAGCACTATAAAGTTAACAATGGTTGTTAACTGTAAACGGAATGTAAGAGTACTTTCTAAGCTATGAATTTAAGTTGCTACTATATTGTTGCATTGTAAGCTAAAGGTAGGTGAAAATAGAAACAAATAACATCACGCCTTTTATCCCCAAAGCCCTCGTACGGCACTTAATGCCACTATACAATGTAACACCTACTTTTCACTATTTACGTTATGAGTCCCTTGTAATAGGGAGTGAGCCTTTTGCACTTTCCAGTCAATAGTACAGTCTCCAGACTGTACTACCCGGAAGTTTTTCAAAAATCCCAGTAGTACTTTGCCCGACCCGGGGATCGTACCAGGGACCCCTTGCCCGGCAGTCGCACTTGCGAACACTCGGCCAACGAGGCAGCTCTAAAATAGATATTGGTAATTTTGAAAACAAATCTAAATATCGCAGACACATGAAAGATACTGTGACTAGAATCAGTCAACATATACCTACATACTTACGTAGGTCTTAATGTATTTATTTACATGTATACAAGTACATAGGTACATAGTATACATGGAATTTATTTACACATTAGCTATTAGACAAACCTAAAATCACCCAGCGTCACTAACTGGTAAATAATACAAATCCGAAGCAAAATAAAACTAAAATTAACAAAATGTTCGTCAAGGTAATTAATACGGATAAAACAAACAGGCTTGGAAATCTGTTCCCAGTCAAACAGTACTATGACGTAACATAACACGCGGGAGCCATGTTTGACATTTCCACAAGATTTACTTTCATTATGTAAATATGGTCGATGACGTCATCAAGGGCCAGTCCTTTAGGAGCGCCGTGTACCAAATATGAGGTCAACAATCAAAATTATTTATTATAATTAGAGAATAGAGTAAATACTTTTCGATCCTCAAAATTCCGCCATTCGGTACATAGAAATCCAACAAAAACATTACCGAAATCCACCTTCTATCAATAATACGAGACGTTCAAGTGATATTCCTTAAAATATTCTATTCAAAGAAATATTTCCAGATGGGTTCATTTCAATGGAGCTTTCATAAAGTTTGCAGGCAGCCTCAATTACGGGAACAATATTTAAATAAATATCTGAATCTTTGAAGAGACCTCTCAAGGCCTGAGGTTTGAAACCTATTGATTTTATTATCATTCTGATTGAATTTATCTTCTCAATTATGGAAAATACCGAGAAGAAACATAGAAACAGGTACCTTAAAGTATACAATAAAACGAAGCTCCAACAAAACACCCAGCTTAGTAAAACAACAAAAGTGTAAAATAACTCCATAGATAATTAAATTTGATCTAGTTGTGTAACTACGTCACATGTGCAGTTACCCATACAAAAGCAATTACAGTGGCACCTCGAGCGGGGCCCACATCAGGCCCACTCGGGCCCCATCGTGCCTGCGACCGGGATAATTGTCACGTTCGCTCCAATTAGTGGGAGCCATTGGCTTGGAAAACTTTTGTCCCCGCGATAACCAAATAATAATGAATCCGCTGGAGACAGCCCACGTGGGATACTAGCCACATTTTATTGATAACTCAGGTATAATAGGTATGGGTTAATTCTATTTGCTTCACCGGACTTTGTTAGCTTGGGATTGTTTAGAGCGAACCGTGCGTTATGTTGTGAGTTTTTAAATTAATTTTTTTCACGTATAAAAGGTATATTTATCTATTAATACGTCACGCTTAACCGCTTACCTGCCGGCCATATATGAGACACGACAGAAAACGCATTGTGTCTCGCATATCTACGTTTCGGCATACCACGGGTTAATACAACAAGTTTATGTTAAAGTTGATCGACCACGATTGAAGAAAAATAGGGCTTTATTTACAGTAAATAATTAAATAAATTGACTGCTTCGTTGTCCGAGTGGTCGCAAGTGCGACTGCCGGGCAATGGTTCTCGAGTTCGATTCCCGGGTCGGGCAAAGTATTACTGGGTTTTAAAAAAATTCTCAGTAGCAGCACGGAGTCTGGAATTGTGCTCGGTATATGGCAATAGGCTTACCCCCTATTGTATGGGACTCATTACATAAATAGTGAAAAGTGGATGTTACATTGTACAGTGGTATAATGTGCACCTCTGCCTACCCCTTCGAAGATAAAAGGCGTGATGTTATGTTATATTATGTAAATAATTAAAATTAAAGAATGTAATATTCAGTGATTTCTAGATCTATATAGTGAGATACCTAACAACAAATGGATATTTATAATGAATGAACATTAACACGTTAAACGCCATGGGGGTCACCGGTGACCGGCGTTAGCGGATGATTTACCTTCAACAGTTTTTTATTGGCAGTCAAAGTCTAAATAATAAATATCCAACATCCTAATTCCGTATTCGGATTTGTTCAGCAATACCTGCGTCCTCCGCCATATATCGCACAGTAGAAGAAACGTTTGGAAATTGTCACAGCTACAGACATACAGACGTGACAAGAAAACAAATGTCAAAACAAACCTTAATAATAAACAAATACTAGGAAAGTAGGAATACATAGAAAGCTGTACCATATGTTCCAGTAATTTATAGCCTACGCGAAAAAACTCAGTCGACACGTGTTTTGCCGTTTGATATTTTATTTCTACCTCGAAATAGATATTACGAAAGCACTGCCTTTGAGTTATGGGCTAGACTAACTTTACAAAACTAGACACGTTTCAGACTCACACTATTTAGCTTCCAGACAGACATTACAACTATATTTTATATCAATTTGAAGTGTTCAAACTAACATAGACAACATATAGAACTAATATTCACTTTGTGGGATCTTTGAGACTTAAACACTACTTGAAGCAATTTAAACATTGAATATGAACAATATTATGTTACAAGCAAGTCATATAGCTACATATATATTTATATAGAACGGTACAATTGCTGTAGTTTGAGCAAGTTATCTAAGATACGAGTGTTTCGGGGCAATATCGGGACGTCCCCGGGGCGCACTAGTACCGTAGGGTTGCCAACCTGCTATTATTTTATTATTAACTATAGTAACACGTTATGGGTCTATGAAATGACCTGGCCGACAGTTTAACTTGGAATTACAATGTCGAATATTATAGTTTCAATACTTTGTGTCAAAGGTTGGTATTGGAAAACTTATCAATAGATTTGCTTCAATACGATGTCGTATTTATAATGACTTGTTGACAAATATTAGACGTTCAGTAAAATATTTTAGTTTCACGATGAAACAATTTGAAAAGCTCCATTGAATAATACTCGTTCGTAGCTATTATATTTGTAAGTATAATAAATTTATCCCAAGAGTACAAGTACAAAGGCATTGAAAATGTATCTAAGGCAATGAAATGTATTTAAAGAGCTGTTCATGTTTACAGTCTCATTCAGTAAATTACAGCTAACGGTAATCCGATACATCTAGTCTAATTGCCACTTTACAAAGCGAGCGCCCTCTACCGGTTTAACATTCCAACTTCGTTAGAGGCGAATCGGAAGCACTTGACATAAAAATCTTCTGCCAGTATTTATCTAAGGTTACGTTATCGAGGCAATCGAATTGTTTCTGTATACAATACAAAGGTACCTATATATCTTAGGTCCTGTAGCCATCTGACTTAAAATAAAACAACCATGACTGCACGGTAGGCGCGGTGGCTGGAATACCGGTTGCAGCACAACGTGGCGAGGGTTCGATTCCCGCACGGAACAACTCTTTGTGTGAACCACAAATTGTTGTTCCGGGTCTGGGTGTCATATATATGAAATTGTATGTTTTGAAATGCACCCACGACACAGAAGAAAATACAAAAGTGGGGTAACGTTTTTTAAAAAAAAAACCATTTGACAACAACAAAAAAGACCGAATTCATCCAAATGCAAAAAGCTGCAATAAAATGCAGCTTTAATACCGTTATTCACTTTAGGTACCTAGTGTTCGACAGCCCTAGAACAGAGCACGCGCCACGCACCAATCATGTATCGTGCAGCGATTACTGGCCCGTGGACACCGGCAGTGGCTGGTCCAATGGCCAGCCGACTTTAAGCACTAATTGTATTACGTAGCCAGACAGAAACGGTAGATTTGGCCACTATAAAATTATAATGTATCTATAAATTATTTCGACTTATTTTGATGCAGACTATGTCCACATTACGTTTTTTTTAAATATATAAAGCTGAAGAGATTGTTCGTTTATTTAAACGCGCTAATCGCGCCGGAAAGATCTGATTTGAATAATTATTTTTGTTTTGGATATTTTATTTCCTTGGGAACTAGTCTCTAATAAGAAAACTTATCTAAATCTCTTGTAAACAAACACAATAAGATAAAATTTATTAACATCAATATAATGTATTATGTTGAAATAAATATTTGACATCACATTGCGCCAGCTGAAGGTTGCACTGCATTGTTTAATTTGTAACTTAATATTACATGGTGTGAGTACATTAGCTAATTATTATAATCAGCTGTTTGTTTGATAAATACATTAACATACAAGGGAAAGTAAATCTCCCAGTTTCGGTAAAACAACGTCTGGTAATGGCGGAGTTTTTGAGTTGCGAAGTGTCTCCAGTTCTTTGGGTGAGGTGGCGCCTGAGAGAACCAGCATTGTTTGGAAGCCGCACCGGACACCCAGCTCTATATCAGTGCTACACCTGTATATGTGTATAAAAGTATATTGTTGTTATGTCTTTTCTAATTAATAAATTTTCTAATTAATAAAAATAGGCTCACCCCTTATTACATGGGACTCATAACATAAATAGTGAAAAGTGGGTGTTACATTGTACATACAGTGGCATAATGTGCACCTCTGCTTACCCCTTCGGGGATAAAAGGCGTGTTACTATGTTATGTTATGTCTTTTCTAATTAAATGAAAAATGTATTAAAATAATTTTGCACAAAGAGTCAAAGTTACCTGTCCCCAATCATCAAAGTCCTCGCTGAATTCAAACCGATAGATGCAAGGTACTTCCGAACATATTTAAAGGGCTTCCCAACAACAACAGCCTTTCTTGCTGAGCATGTCTCAACTGCCCTCACCAATGTGCCGGTACCAGGAATAACAATCGAGTCAGGTTTCCGAAACCTCTCCTCCATATTTGTTGCTACGAACAAACATTGTTCAGATGCGAGGTAAGAGGCAGCCTTCAACAATTTTGGGTAACTGACATGAGCATCGAAGCCTACCACCACCGCACCAACCTCAGGATCCAGTTCTGAAGGCTTCGTTGATTTAACATTTGGTTTCACATGATCTGGCTGCAATGTCAGTAACAAATAAAAGATCTATTTTCAAAGAGATAGAAATCCTTTTGGTATAGCAACTATGTTTCCACTTACCCCCACACCAATATGTCTAACACCTACAGATTCCAGTTCCTCTCCAAGCCCGTCTGATCCCAGTAAATATACCTTTTTGGTGAACCCTATATCTTTAAAGTAATGACCTGCTAAATAAGCAGCTGACAATATCTCTTCCTGAAATAAAATTGTAACAAAATAATTGTACGTAGTACTTGAAAATCTTATATCATAACTGTACTCATTGATTTAAATTTGAATAAATAGCATATAGTAGATGATGATGACGACGATTATTTACTTTAGTGTAGAAATTGTATTGGATATGGGAGTATCATCCACAGTGAGTTCACAGCTGGACATATTAACATCATTATGAAACTAACTACTCAAGTCGTGGACTTTAATCAAAACTAAGTTAATTTAGGAACGACTTACCGGGCATGCAATAAAACCTAGTTTAGTCGCTGTCGCTGCTAACTCACTCCGCTTTAGTGTTGAATTATTTGTCACATAATATATCTTTTTTCCGATTTTCCGGAAGTAATTTATTGTGTCTGCTGATCCCGATATGGCATTGTTACTAAGCCATAGAACACCTAAAAAATAAAATAGCGGAGAGGTAAAATGTCGTGGTGGCCCGGAGGTTTAATACGCCCACTTCTCATGTAACTTCTTCTGAGTTATATGTACTTTCTAAGATAATATAGACACCACTGACGAACGGCGATGAGTCATCAAAACATCGTGAGGAAACCTGGGCTCATAATTTGAAATCATCAACTCGTATTTAGCAAGCATAGTGATTAATGCTCAAACCTTCTCCGTGTAAGAAGGCTTTGGTTAGCAGTGGGCACTTATAGACTGTTGATGATGACGATGATATCACATAAGTATAACAAAGTTATTACACAGAAGGGTTTTAGTAATCAGTAGCATGAATTTAGGGATGAAAATAGTCATAGGTGGTGGTAGTGCTTGGATTCCCATTAATAACAACGCCACTCATATTACTTACCATCACAATCCGTCACAACTGTATCGAATGACTTTACGAACTCCTGAACTTGATCTTTGGAAGCTTCCTGGAGATTGAACACTGCTGACTTAACAATAGTGGCATTTGTGCTGATACCTCTCAATTGACTACTCACTATAACCGTACTGTGGATAAAGTTTTGAACTTTTTGAAATTTGCCGAGGAATTTAATCATTCCAAGTTCTTGCGAATAGAGATTGGTCCAAAATATCAGCTCTCGATATCATATCATTTCATCATTTATTTTGACGTTTGCTTGATTCTGAATTACGTCAAAACCATTGACATCTATCTATGGTCCTCTAAGAATAAAAACTCGCAGTGACAATCAGACACAGTCTCAATTTTTATTGGAAGTGTACCGCGGTGTTAACTCACGGTTTTAATGCTCTATAGCTCTCCCTAGGTCTCACTCGGAAACGGAATGAGCATTAACTAAAACACTTGCTTGAGGCGAAATGACGATTTCAAACTCATAAGTACAATTATAAGTCCAGGTTGCCTCAAACAAAGAACTCGCCAAGACTAGAAGACAATTATAAAAGTCGAACCAGTACGATGGAAATAAAACCACGGTATACATAAAACTAGATTCAAACGTTTAAAACGTATAAAGTTAACATAACCTCAAAATTATCTTAAACTTAGTAACCAGTAGGCTTAATACCTTCAAGTTTGTCTAACGTTAAAACTGTTGAAAGCTATTGGTTTTTTGGAGCCGGCCAATCAGAGCACCGGTCGCGGTCTCGATTACTTTTAACGTAATAAAAACTCATACTAAAGCCTCTGACAAAGTTTTATACTAAAACTAATATTCATATACAGACCAGTTTATAGCACCCTTGGTTCCCCACATAGACATACATAGTAATACGTTGTCCGTCCGTGGGTCACGACAATAACGGAAACTGTGGACACTGAAATGTGGGATGTTTTGCTACAAGTTTGTTTCATGAGTTTAACTGTTACAAACTACGGGATACGCGGACAAATATTGCATATGTATGAAGGCGAGGAACAACAAGAATCGCTGTTCAATTTCATAATAAACAGATGAGAAAACCATTGAGTTTCTAGTGTTCTCAATCTTTTCCTGACAGTATTAACATTCCAAAGTAGTTGCTTACATTTTTGATTTATCGTGAATAGTAGGTTTTTTATGGCATAAGCCGGTAAACGAGCAGACATATCACCTGATGGTAAGCAATCGGCGTCGCCCATGGACACCTGGAACACCAGAGGCGTTACAAGTGCGTTACCGGTGCGTACAAACACAGAAATAGATGTCTCTATGGGTAATGTAACGCAGTAGTCTAATGGCCAACCCAGCAATCGTGTATACAAGATAAGATTATCCAAAAAAACCCTGAAAAACATCCTATTTTCGTTGTATTACTGCATATTTAAGCAATAGTTTGTAAATCCTTCACAACAGAGAATTAACAAGTTCTATGACCTATAGTGAGCTCCAAAATGGCTGGGCGTTGCGGTGGCTTCGTGGCACGCCTCGCCCTGCAGTGCCACTATCTCCATCGCGATAACCTGCCTCTATCTAGACCTAACTTCAACTTACCCTGCAGATTACACCGTGACTACAGTTATTTGGAAGTAGACAAACAACTACTATTACGTTAAATTGCATATTGTAGGCGAAATGAAGATCCCTAGTAGTATTTGAAACTGTTTTTTTTGGTGCTTTGTTGAACATCAATCGTTATAGAGTAATATCATGTTATAAGCGAAAGAGGTAGAATGTTAGAATCGTAGCAATTGGCGTTCCATAGGCTCTGTCTACCCCCGAGGGTGGCAGGCGTGAAGTTATGTATGCATGTAACTCTCAGGAACAGAATTTGCCACAAATCGGTAAGCAAACAAATCACATACGTCTCAATCATCATCAGCATCAACAGCCTATAAGCTACCACTGGTGACCAAAGGCCTCTACTCGCACGGAGGTTAAATACAATCACGTTTAAATACAAATACCGACAGTCTGTATTTCCTGAAGTGCATAACCTGGGTGTCTTCAAGGCCCGAGTGAATAGGTTGTTTTTGGGACGACGTGCTGGAGCACGCAATGATGCGGTCTACGATGGATCGTAGACCGCATCATTGCTTACCACGGCCCCAAGGAGATAGTGGTCAAAAATGGATCAAATAAAAAAAACTCTAGAAAATTGTAGTAACTATACAAACATCATATAAGCCTAATTCTTCACCTTCAGGATACTCAAGTTTAGCGACAAACCTATGCCTATGCCCAGAGACCGTGGCTAATCCCATTCCGTGTGTAATCCGGCACAAGACTGCCGTCTGCCGACCGTGCCTCCGTGCCTCCGCTGCGATAAGCGGTTCATAAATATGTATCACTGCTTCTGGCCTGTGCCTGTACGTACGTATGTACATATTGGACGTATTCTATTTGCTAAATACTTATTTGCAATAACAATACAAAGAGTTTAACATTATGTAGAACATTAAAATTGATGCAGATAGCACATGACATCTTCAGGTAGACAAGATATTTAAGATGTCAATGGTATCTTCTTTTATTCGTTCGCTTTCGTGGGATTTGTTATTTCAGAATGAAGCAATGAGCTTTACTACATACAGACCCCATTTTATCGAGTTCTTCACAACTAAAAAGTGTCCTAAATTTAAAAAAAATACCTTGGTCTCGGTCTAGCACCACCCGAACCCTATTTGACCTAAGCTTTTGTCGTAGCAAAAATCCAATTTCAGATCAATTCAGAATTTCTAAATTGAAAAACCCAACTTCAATTACAAGAACGGTAACAATTTTGAAAAATTTACGGCAGTCTATTATGAATCCGGGTCCTTAAGCAGCGTGCACACGATCGTAAAACTTTCAATTTCCCGTGACGTTACGGGTTATCATAAAACCACGCGGTTATGTAAAGCCGTATTCGCAATACATTGTGACGGTTATCGCGGCGTATCACGCACGCCTGTACTGCACTTTATGTTAATGTAGGACCATTGATATGGCCTGGCCAGGTTATGACAGGTTTATAAACCTTACTGGAAGTGCCTGTTTATTATACGGTTAATGGTCAGCTAGACCTGGTTAGAAATGAAAGACCAGCTCCCTTGCATAAAATAATTCATAGAAGGTAAAAAATAAGTGCGAATCATATCCAAAATGCCTTATAATTTCCAAGCCTAAATAATTTAAAACTTTACTTAAGAGATACAACATACTTTCACAAACTCTTTCCTCACATTATCCATCCAAAAGTTTCCATCTTACGTCTACCGTATATAGTACTTGGAACCATCATTTCCAATTTGTCACAACAGTATTCTTAATGAAAACGTTACGACCGTCGTTTGAAACTGTTCTTTTTACTTATGTACGAGCACTACCAGGTAATAAAGAGTACATTTTAGTATAGAGAACGTCTTAACACTTAGACAAAATGACATAAAAAGGCATCTTCATAAAAGTAAGAAAGAATGATTTTAGAACTCAATGTTAACAGGAATATTTATTATTATAATCGTTTGATTACTTCACAACGTGAATTATTTACTTTATTTTCCTATACCTACATGTACATATGTTTGTATATATTGTATACCTGAAGAGGAAAACGAATCAAATCCACAGAATGAAAATGGACAACAATCATAAACTAAGTCAAGATTGGCTGCAATCTTCGCAGTTAATGTTGTATAAAGAATTATAGATGGCAGCACTGCATCGTTAAGCAGCAAACTAATTGGGTCAGAATAATTAACAGAAGCCACGGAATTAACATAATTAGAAAAGTTTTTATTTTAATATGCAACCCTTAACGGTAATCTTTTTCTGTTTCAGTGTAGTTTGAGTTTTATCCTTGGAAGTCGTACGTTTTAGGCCGTTTTGTGGGATTAACTTTGACCTGGTGAAGTTGGAAGGTCGCACGTGGTTGGAGCGCACTGATGTCAAATGATAGCTCTGGCCTGCATCTTTAATTACGTCCTCAATCTCGGTTCTGTTTTATAGAACTGGTGATTCGGAAGACATTAAGGGCCAAAAGAATTAAATTGACATTTATCCCTCAGTTAAAAATTAACTGATGATTGAAAAATCAGCTTTTAGTATAATTTTAAAAAGACATATTCAACTTCAAAGAAGATTTCTAGTTAGTGGACGCCATAAATAAACAAAAAACAGTAACGAGCAGAGCAGGTTTGCAAAATTAAAATACCGAATAACTATGTAAGAGAAACGTTCCACACACACTGTGCCCTTTCCAAAGAGAACAGTACAACATTGAATATACATTTTCAAAGTAAAGCAATTACACAAAGAACGTATTACAGTAATAAACGTAATTAAATTGAAGCACTACAACAGCTGGTACCACATTAAAGTCTTATTTGAAACAAATCCATTTAGAAACCATATTACCATACTACATTTTAGACTAGAATGCTCTCTCTATACACAATTATAGTGTTCTCTCACAAAGAGGTTTACAATGCAAGCCTCAGGGGATGCAAGCAAACATACAAACAGACAAACATCTCTCCTTGATGAAACTACAGGCCTGAAGGCTTGAACGTGTTTATCTAGTCCTGTAATTAACGTGGACTGAAACGTAGATGAACGACTTTGCAGTTAGATTTCAGTCAGTTTTGTGTAATTAAAGGTAAATATGTAGATTCATTTTACGTACTGAAGTAAAGTTTTATTCAGCTGTGAACGTAGGGGCGTGTACAGAGATTTGAAGTAGGGTAGGCAGAAGGTATCACATGGTTAGAAATAAACTGGGACTCGCTTAATCTCGGAAAACAAAACTCACGAGCCATCATTTATAAGCGACTAGGTGGTAACTGGTGAACGTTGTCTGGTCCATGATGATGATGTATTAGGGTTGAATATTGCTTGGTTCACCAAGGACGTGTAATCATCTGGTTTTGTTACTTGAGATGAGGAGTGTTTTTGGATTTGCTATCATAACGTAAAATTAAATAATTTTGTAAATAAAAGATAAATTGCATTTTAAAAGAAACTAAGCAACAGAGGTAACAGACAACGAATGTTTACAGACCGTTTGAGAAAAACAACGTATCTTCTGTTTTCTTCTCTGTATTTCCTTAAAAACAAGAAAGACAAAACAGGTTCACGTCAATCTTCAATCTTAATAAACCTTGTGCTCAACTGTC